ACACGTTATGAGAGAAATAGAATATAAGTGAAGAGGAATGAATAATAAATTATTCAGCGAAATGAAGAGGTGTAATGGTGAAAAAACGCAGTTATGACTATTACAGAAAAAAATATATGGGAGTGGCCAGTCAGTCTAATACTGCGATTTCTTTTTTGTACGTGAAGCTTCTGTAATATATCAGAAAAAAGGATCACGTTCACTTTGCCAACAATCACTTTGCGACACATCATTTTGCCGACACCACTTTGATGACAAATTGTTTTGTCGACAGGTACTTTTTGCTGACGACTTGTTTCGTCGACACCACTTTGCCGACAAACTTTGTTGATATCTTAACCTACTAAATCTAGTAATTTCCAGGGTACACCGGGAAGAGGTGTATGAACTAGTATACCGCGAACAAAGGACAAACATACAGATATAAAAACCCATCGATGTTAAGTTTGGACTTGCCTTTCGTAGACTTAATCACTTCAGCATACCTGCTTGAATCGCTCTCACTGTTTTGACTTGAAGCCATAATTAAATTGTAACTTATCTCCCGAGTAACAGATGAGTTTTAAAATTTTTTGACGCAATATTGTCAACAAATTTCAATTCTTTTGATTTCAAACTTTTACCGACAAAATAAATAGTCGGTGAAACAAGTCGTCGGCAAAGTGTACATGTCGGCAAAAATTAACTGTTGACAAAACAATTTGTCGGCAAAGTGGTGTCGACAAAGTGTTGTGTCGACAAAGTGTTGTATCGGTAAAGTGATTGTCGGCAAAGTGATACGAACCTCAGAAAGAAATGATTTTTTTTACCAGTTATAGTCCTTGTATAATGCTGCTGATCTGTCAGGGACAAAGAGGTCTATAACTTGTTGGAAATCAAAATAATCAAGTGTCTTCACAAAGCATGTTCGTAAATACCAAAAGGTTTTTTGAAGACACTTGATTATTTTGATTTCCAACAAGTTATAGACCTCCTTATCCCTGTCAGATCATCAGCATTATACGAGGACTATAACTGGCAAAAAAATCCTATTTTTCTGATATATTATAGAAACTGTATGTACGTAAAAGGAATTGGACTATCAGGCTGATTGGCCACTCCCATATACTTAGACTAATGACTACTTTAATGCAGTATTTTACAAAAAACTGAAAAAAAAGTTTAATTATTCTTCGATAATAAAATGCACGTGTCTTCATAATTAAAAATCCCAATAGATTTGTTACAAAACTTCTTAGTCAACATTTGTTTTATTGCTTTTCACACTTAAACTGGAAACTGCAATTGAATATAGAAGGAAGTTTTATCTCAATTTCAGAAATGAAATTAGAACGAGTTTTCATTTATACGTTTAAACAAATATTCAACTTTATCGTACAGGAAAAAAATAACTGAAAATGAAAGGTCGTTTTTTCTTTTCTTAAAGTCAATATTAATTAAAATACTATGGATAACTCACCAGAAAAGAATAGAAGAAAAATAGATGAGTCATCCAAGTCATTCAAGCACATTTTCTCTACGTTTGATTCGAGTAAATCATTGTTTTTTTAGTTTATAACTCTAGTCTACCTTTTTACATTCTGATGGATAAATGTTTTGTTAAATATTCTGCTAAGAAATGAGCATAAGTGCAACATTGAGTAATCATGCTTTCGCTAGTGTGTAAATCTGCAAAGAAAAATACATATAAGTACTCGTTAAAGTACTCGGAAAGTACAGATACACACAACATCTCTTTAGCAGTTGCGCCAGTAATCTGGATACTAAGGCTGACAAGCCGTACTTGCTGGATGAGTACATTCATTACACCGCAAAAAAGTCGTCGAACGAATTCTTTGAGCTTTTCTGGAATTTTAAAACACATTAACCAGCTACTTTTCTATACAAAGCTCCTTCTGCAGGCAATAGAGAACGATTTACTTATGCGACAATCGAAAATTCTTCGCTGAACCTTTAAAATTTTGACATTTTATTGAAAGAAACATACTATCTGCTCGGTCAACAGTTTTCTATATTTCGTTTTCAAGAATCAATGTATCTCTGGGTTTTGCTATAGCCTTTCAATCCCTATTAGTTGAAAACATTGACATCACAAATTGCTGACCTCCATTGATGTCCTATCAGAGGTCTCAATGGGCTGGGCCAAACCCGGCCCATCCAGCCCATGGGCCGAAATTGTAATAGGTACCCATGGGCCAAAATGGGCCGAATTTAAAACAAAACGAAAATTATCAAAACTTCTTTCTCAAAGTAAAACTGAAATTTTTTTTGCGAATGATCATCCGATAAAAGCATAATCGTAACTGAAAATCAGACATGTAAAAGTTCTTCATTAATTATCCATGTGATTCTTTATATGTAATTAACTGCTTTTAAAGCTCTCCTACATATGAGTTAACAGAGTGGCGCCTAACTTTTGTGACTGTCTTCATTTTAGTTATATCGCAGCTAAGTTATTTTAGTTTGTCGTTTTTGCAGACTATATGCGA